ATCTTGTTCACGGACAGCCGTGCGAAACAAAGTGGAATAGCATGACATCGGTGTTATGACGTCAAACACAGAAGACGTCATTACTGCACAACGTTGTAACATTGCAATAATAAATGTTTGACTTCAATGAATGCGCATAGAGTCCCTGTTAAAGACAGATCGTGATCAGTGATTGCACCAGTGACTCATATCTTGATATAATCAGTTATACATTTAACAATAAAGTATTATATGAATGCCACTCCATTGTGACTAGCATCACGTTGACAGACACGTTATCATCGTTCTTACATTTCTATTGCCATTTTGACAAATGATTGTATCTCTGTTGAAGGAGTTTCGTCATTGTGCTTTGTTTCATGAAAAGACAACACTATATATAGTTTTGTTCTTGTACACCATCAGGCAATGTGTAATGACAAGATTCCTAGTTACAAATAGAATATAAATTTTGCATACCATGGAAACGTACAGTATTGTTGAGGTTAAGCATGTTAACTAAGGTAGGCATAGAATAACACTGTAATATAAACTTATACTCTCGCCCTTGATAATAGCGCATGGAGGACCAAGTTGTTCACTTGATGGAATAGTATGCTTATTTCTGCTTAAACCGTGGTAGGAAATTTAAATTGCAGATAAGCATTATTATTGAGGATGACACGTATTTTTCACCATATAAAAAAAATAATAGATCTCTGTAAAACTTGAATAAGCCTTCACATTTTCTTTCCATGAATGTTGAATAAAATCAACGCAACTCTGAATAAATAATAATGAAAACGTTGGACACATTCATGACCTTGTTCTATTCACGAGGATCAAAAACCTTGGACAAATAGTGGTTGTATTTTTATTGACCAATACTTGATACCTTTTGTCCGGCAACTCGTATTGGCACAAAAGAAACAAATTTCAAAATAGTGTTAAATTGCTGATGCATTAACAATTTCTAGTATGGTATTTGTTTTCAAACATGCCGATTCATTCTGATACAATAACGACCAATCCACCACTTGGTGTCTTAGTTGTGATGCAAAAGTGCCATAGATGTGTTCGTATAATACCAAACCATTCCCAGATAGGTGCATGATAAGATTGTCAAACAGTTGTGTTGATATAGTGCCATAAATGTTCACTGATAGGTGTGTTGATATGGTACCATAAATGTTGACTGATAGGTGTGTTGATACAGTACCATAAATGTTGACTGATAGGTGTGTTGATATGGTACCATAAATGTTGACTGATAGGTGTGTTGATATAGTACCATAAATGTTGTCAGATAGGTGTGTTGATATAGTACCATAAATGTTGACTGATAGGTGTGTTGATATAGTACCATCAATGTTGACTGATAGGTGTGTTGATATGGTACCATAAATGTTGACTGATAGGTGTGTTGATATAGTACCATAAATGTTGTCAGATAGGTGTGTTGATATAGTACCATCAATGTTGACTGATAGGTGTGTTGATATAGTACCATAAATGTTGACTGATAGGTGTGTTGATATGGTACCATAAATGTTGACTGATAGGTGTGTTGATATTGTACCATAAATGTTGACTGATAGGTGTGTTGATATGGTACCATAAATGTTGACTGATAGGTGTGTTGATATAGTACCATCAATGTTGACTGATAGGTGTGTTGATATTGTACCATAAATGTTGACTGATAGGTGTGTTGATATAGTACCATAAATGTTGACTGATAGGTGTGTTGATATAGTACCATAAATGTTGACTGATAGGTGTGTTGATATAGTTCTGTAAACATTGCCACCTATTTGCTACAGTACTGAAATGATAGGTTCACGCTTTTGTTGCTATAGTAATATATATATGATCATTGTAACAAAGTTGTGGTGATATAGTATTGATAACATGACCACACACACACACATATATATATATATATATATATATATATATATATATATATATATATATATATATATATATATATATATATATACTGTTAACATTGCTATATAGTTGTGTTACTTTAGTACTGTAAACATTGCTATTTGGTTGTGTTACTTAAGCACTGTAAACATTGCCATATAGTTGTGTTACCTTAGTGCTGTAAACATTGCCATATAGTTGTGTTACTTTAGTACTTTAATCATTGCCATATAGTTGTGTTACTTTAGTACTGTAAACATTGCCATGTAGTTGTGTTACTTTAGTAGTACTGTAAACATTGCCAGCCATATAGTTGTATTTCTTTAGTACTGTAAACATTGCCATATAGTTGTGTTTCTTTAGTACTGTAAACGTTGCCATATAGTTGTGTTAGTTTAGTAGTACTGTAAACATTGCCATATAGTTGTGTTACTTTAGCAGTACTGTAAACTGCCATATAGTTGTGTTACTTTAGTACTTTAAACATTGCCATATAGTTGTGTTACTTTAGTACTGTAAACATTGCCATATAGTTGTGTTACTTTAGTACTGTAAACATTGCTATATAGTTGTGTTACTTTAGTAGTACTGTAAACATTGCCATATAGTTGTGTTACTTTAGTAGTACTGTAAACATTGCCATATAGTTGTGTTACTTAAGTAGTACAATAAACATTGCCATATAGTTGTGTTTCTTTGGTACTGTAAACATTGCCATATAGTTGTGTCACTTTAGTACTGTAAACATTGTCATATAGTTGTGTTACTTTAGTAGTACTTTAAACATTGCCATATAGTTTGTTTCTTTAGTACTGTCAACATTGCCATGTAGTTGTGTTACTTTAGTACTGTAAACATTGCCAGCCATATAGTTGTGTTTCTTTAGTACTGTAAACATTGCCATATAGTTGCGTTACTTTAGTACTGTAAACATTGCCATATAGTTGTGTTACTTTAGTACTGTAAACATTGCCATATAGTTGTGTTACTTTAGTAGTACATGTGATTGTGTCACTCATTGTCACATGGTTGTGTCAATAGTGTCATGTACAATGCCATGTCATTGTGTCATACACATTGCCACATGTTGTGTTAATAGAGAGCCATTTATACTGATATGCCATTGTGTCATACACATTGCAATATGGTTGTGTTGATAGTACCATGTACAATGACATGTCATTATGTCAAACTCATTGCCACACGGTTGTGTTGATAGTGCCATGTACAATGACATGTCATTGTGTCAAACTCTTTGCCACATGGTTGTGTTGATAGTGCCATGAACAATGACATGTCATTATGTCATACACATTGCCACATGTTGTTTTAATAGTGTCATGTGCACTGACATGTCATTGTGTCATACACATTGTCACGTGGTTGTTATCAGAGCGTCATGTACACTTACATGTCATTGTGTCACATATTTCCAGAGCTTCATGTACACTGATATGTCATTGTGTCACAGATTTCCAGAGTTTTATGTACACTGACATGTCATTGTGTCACACATTGCCAGAGCGTCATGTACACTGACATGTCATTGTGTCAAACACATTGTCACGTGGTTGTTATCAGATATTCATGTACACTAACATGTCATTGTGTCACACATTACCAGAGTTTCATGTACACTGACATGTCATTGTGTCACACATTGCCAGAGTTTCATGTACACTGGCATGTCACACATTGCCACATTGTTGGGGCTTCATGCCACTGTGCACAGAGAAGTATTGTCAGCAGAATACAGCAATGCACTACCTACAAATAGGAACACTCACTTTCCCACAAACTAGCGAAGTACAGATGGTCGTTTCTTGGACTGTCTTGGGACTTGTGGAAGCCCCTGGGAACAAACCTCTATCATATTAGATCATTTAATATCACATCATTGTGGCGCGCACACAGACGAGTGTTCTGTGTTTACTTGAAGATTCCTGGTATTCTCTGTGAGTGTGGGGAAATTCAAGATTTCTGTTTGATATTGACCTATTCGTGATTTACTTCTGATGATGGGTTAGTATATAACTCTCATTGCCCGGCGCCATCCAGATGCAAAATCTCATTGATGCGAACTTTTATTATAGGCAGGGGTTTGTGATGAGCGAAGTTTCCCGCTAGATGGCAGCACTCTCAAAATGGCAAGACCACATAGCAGCTTGGCAAACCAGGTCGATATCATGCACAGTCTTAATTCGAAACAAGAATCTAAGTATAGCCCCGCCTGGCATCGCGCCTGCTCAATCCTCAACATAACAGACACCACAGCATTATGATACAGTACCATCCAAATGACAACAAAACGTTTAGAAAATAGGAAAGGGTATATGGGTGCGGGGCTGTGGCAGTTGGAGAAATAGATACCATCAAAAAGTAATTATATTCCTATAGCTGTTCGAAAGGTCTTCCAGTGAATATTTGCAAGAGAAACCAGAGCCAGGCATTATGTACCAACTAGCCTAAGAATATATTAGTTAAATACATGAATGGCCATGCCGAGCCAACATATTATTACCATACTCAGTATGCCCAAATATAGATGTAAAATACAAGAACAGGCGTCATTTGTGAATATAGAAACATGTTTGGTAATGGGAATTGATTGGGGATGTCTGCTGGCTAATTAAGCCAGTGAAGTGTATCCTACGGATTCTGCGAGGTTCGGGAGAGATTAGCCCTGCAGGCTCTGTAACACGGGCCAAGATGTGTGCATTTTTAATGAACGGGCCATATCGATTGAAGACAGGACTTGGCAGAAGTGTCTGTATTCGTATCCCCCACTGTGAGGCGGGCAGTAACTGCAGACCGGTAAGTTGATAAGGCGGGGGGTGGGGAGAACATGCCACAGAAGCCCACGACGATGGTCAGCTTGGCGTCCACTCGTGGCGCAGGACAGTGAGGAACAGGACAGCATCGATACGGTAAGGATGTGGCAGTACCTTGAAGGCTTCGCGATGGAGCAATGCAGTCGTTATCTTATTTAAAGCCCCTGCCGAGGACCTCGGCTCGCCTGCCATGGCCCTAATTCATCTATTATTCATGCAGAAGCCTCTGCCAATCGGATACGACTGACGATTGCGCATATCGACCCTGGGACTTGGCAGAGAGGCAGTGAAGGCATGCGGGTGCGGGAGGGAGCCATGGCTGGCATTCTTGTGCAGCAGCATCGAGAGACGCTCGGCTACCCGTCCCTCCCTACACCCAATAGATTCCAGTACACCCCATGTCGCTGGCGTGACACTGACAGAGTCGAAGATGAGGGTTGGGTCTCTGATGAAGGAGTTTTCAGGAACCGTATGGCCGGACCTTTGCTTGACTGTATATGAAGTGCAAGATGCTGTAGTCGACAAGCGTCGCTCCTTAGCGCTCTGGCAGCCGGTACCGGCCGACTACGGTCACCTTGCCAAGGTTACATACATTCCGTCTCACAATGCGGCAGCGATCCTCTTCCTCAGGAGGCCTTCGACCAGCATGGACATCAACGACCAACGACAAGGAAGTTTGGACAGCAACAGCGATGACAGGTGAGGTTGATGTAGTCGGGTTAGATTAATAATTCTCTGTGTGTTCTGATTCCCAATCTCGGCTAGCTGGTGACCATTGGTGCGGGGCGGCAGCCATTGTTCGCCAACAATACCGGTCAATAAGCTGGAACAATCTCACTCCAAGCATCGATAGCTGTTGTGGGGCTGGATGGTCATTAGCGTGATCTCTCCATCGACAACACGACAGGATCTCGACGTCCTAATTATTTTACTTCTGCAGAAAACCGACACACAGACCGTAATCCTGAAATGCAATATGTTCGTACATTTTAAGGAAGCAGAACCACCGTTTCGGAATTTGACGTCTGATATCATTATCATTTTAAGCGTCATAGCCTATTCCATAATACTATAACACTGCCGAATAACGAGTCCTTCATTCAAAAATCAATGCCTTTGTTTAAGCGGTGAATAGTAATGAGGCTATTGATAACTGAGATTGCGCTTCAGTGTTCCTGTATTGTAACACAAGCGATGCTTTAGCACAGGTATTGATCCCTCGGTGACTGTGCGGGTAGGGGGCTGTTGAGAGATTCAGATCAGTGGTGTCACCATCTCACCACACAGTATTAAATAACTCGCTTTAATACGTTCTATCACCTCATGTCAGAAAGAACTGCCCCATTGTGGAATTCATCTCAACTATTGATAGCGAATTGAATTACTTTGTTACATTTAATAAGGTGCTAACTGTCTTGATACATGGACGCGCAGTTATTGACCATTCATTGACCTCGCATTTTCCCTGTCCACTTGGACACAAATCCCCCGTTCCTACCCCCTGAAGTCAGTGCGTTACATTGATGGCGTCCAGTGACAGCGACGAGGACGCTGCGTCACGACGGCCGGACACACGGAAGAACGATCGATATTAATCTTCAGAGCTCTACGCCTAACAATGGCCAACAGCATTGAGCCGCGATAGGGGCAGGTCTCCAATATCATCAAATTCCATCGTGCATAATTTAACACTGGCCCCAGAAACAATGGGTCATTTCATAATTGATCTGCCCACATCTGTGCTGGGCGTTGTTCCCTAATGACCTGCTGTCGGGTTAGATTCACAGGATGGCTGGGAGATGGACAGTGGTCACTCACCCTTTATAATCGAGGCTCTGGACATGTTCTTCAGAAGTGGGTGGCACTCGCCGTCAGTAGAGCGGTCACGTCTCCGGTGCCTCCGGCCTAGGGATGTGGTGATTATAGATCACGTAGTCAATCTCCATCTCAGTCCACGCTGCGAGGATTAGGGTAATATAGCAGCTAGTTAGGAAGATAACCATAGTGTTTTGTTGTAGGAATGTTTACTGTCGGGATGCAGCTGTGAAGTCATCATCAGCCACGATGGAGATGACAGAGTCATCGAGGACAACGCAACGGTAAGTCCTCTGAACGTCACTCATTTAGTTCATTTCACCATTATTAGATCGATGTATGGTGCTTAGTCTTTGTTGTTGTCATAGACCTTGCTTATTCGCATCTCAACGCTAGTCAACTTATATGGAACGGTCTGTTCGGGTGATCAGTTCTTTGATGAAAGACAGCAATGCGTGCACACTTTCAGAGTGTCTACCGTAGTCTTAGGTCACGGAGGCTAGGGCTGTAGTCGAATGGAAATTGATCACTTGATATCCTGAGGGCAACGTGAGAAGTGAGGGGGATGGAAGTGGGGGTCGGGCTGGCGAGACATGGGCGGTAGTGAGGGTAATCTGAGATATGAGGGGGCTGGCGCGTGAGACAGGGATGACTTTCAAACAAAATACTCGTTTTATTTCTCCACTATCACAGATTGAAAATAAATATTCTTTCACATTGATATTTATTATAAACGACAGTAACGTATGTCAATATGGTAAAATATATTTGATTAAAACATACAAATTTTGAGCTGGATGTTATAAGTCATTTTATAAGAAAGTTTGAGACATTTTCATATGAGTCGGAATCCTCAATACAAGCAATTTCATATTTTTATTCTCCTCATTATACGTTGTTCGCCCTGGTAAGACTACCCACCTGCCCATATGGAGTGGTTCATGTCTGTAGTGAAACCTGGCACTCCCGCGATGTCCGCGAGGTTGGTTCCAAGCCCTGCTCAATATCGGGAAGTCTCGTGAGGTTTCGTTCCGCATGTTCTGAGGTTCTGATTTTTGTCATTAAGGCAGCTATTCATGCGCGTACAATCATTTCCTGCTGGGATTCAGTTTGTCATTACTGCCTTGCACACTGAGTCTCGCGCATGCGCACTTCGCCCCAGTCAATTTATGTGTTTCGTGGGACTACTGGTCCTTCGTTTAACTAGATAATCAAATTTCTGCACCCTCGCCGCCTTAGGGTAATTGCAGAGAATGTCCGCGATGGCGGAGGTCCTAGGTTCAATAAGGAGAACTATGATGAAAACGTGCGGCGGTTGCCCTCTACTAAGGATCGTCCTGTCTCTATCCAATGCACTTAGTTGTACTTTGCAGTAATTATTTCCAGTATTCATGAACATTTATACAACTGATATGTTTAGTTTTTCTTATAGTAACCTTGACCCATTGACCTCAACGCATGCCACGCACACTTCCCACTTATGCATTTAAATTTCTAAACGCTTTGAAAAAATCATTATCGTAACAATTTAATTCTGTTAACCAATTTGTGAGACGACCCCCATGGTAATACCCGTCTGTCCACCTGCCCACCAGACAGCCTCCCCTTCCCGGACCTTCTGTCCACCCCTGGGTAATAACGTTTGTCACACACAGCGATGTTTGTAGGGGGCTGTCCAGTCATACAACACCAATTTCGGGGATTAACTCTCAAGTGTACTATCACTGCACACAATGACAGTGGGCTAATGACACGATCAATGCGCAACAATCTATTGTAGGTTATAACAGTATCAATCACACGTACATAGGGGTACATTTGGGATCCCCGGGTGACTGGATGCGCTGCTGTTGCAGTAATGGCGCGACCTCTGACGTACTGATTCTCGACTCTATGCTATCTCTTAACATTTCCACTGATGACTCTACTTCTTACGTCTCTCACTCCGTTGGTCTCATCTGAAGACTCTCTACATTTCTTCTCACAGACGCCCCCCCCCCAAAAAAAAATAAAACATAAAAAAGAGAGAAAAATCAAAAACCCAAATACACAACAAAGACCACACAAACAAAACAAAACAAGAAACCCATAAAAAAATATATATAAAACCCTTCTCTACAACTTACAGCTCCACGTCATATTTACTACACGCAGCTAATCCCATCTGCATCCCTCATCATCCCTTGGAACCGTTATATCTAACTGTATCCCGGCTGTATCTTCACGTCCTACCGTGTCTGCCTCTCCCTGACTCAGCAGCATCATCCGCCCTGTGCCCTTTATCTCACATGTTCCATACTTATGTCATAACATATCACCACTTCCAGGTGATATAAGAGTGTATTTTCACTCGTCAAAAAAAGTCATTGCATCATGGGACAATATGACGTTGTGATGACGTCACGAGTCAATTGTGGGTCTTAATATATCGTTGGGTTGGAATACTTTCATCGATATTCAACGTTTTTGTTATTCCTCGAGGTCTTATTTGACATAATAAATAAAATATTTGGCTAACATTATCATATAACATGTCATTCTCTGTTGTTATACCCGCGTCCAAAATATTTAAATTTATCAGGTAAAGTCTCATTTGATAAAATCAGCCTAAGCTCTTAAATTTTTACTTTCAACCGCTACCCTTTGCATAATAAGGTCGTCACACCCTTGCGCTATCCACAACCCCTAGGTACCGATACCCCGTTACCCAATTACATCTTCAACTCGACCAGTCTATTCCCATCTCACACTTGCGTTGTTCTCCGTAGTATTCCTCATATCAATATTTCCCCATTATTCGTCTCGTTCATTTCTCCGAAGCAATCCCTGGTATTAGACTCAACATGAGCCGTAATTGAACTCCGAACAGATCTCGTTTTGCAAAACTCAATGAACCCAAGTGACTCACGTCTCCCGTGGTTGCCATGGTGATCAGCATCCTGAATTATTCCTTAACAATAGCAATCAAATTTAATTGTATTTCGTGCCCATATTTGCTATTATGGACAGAAACAGGGGTGCTCCTTTGTGTGAAATGGAGGGGCACGTGGCGAAGGGAAACAATTGGATGGTTAATCGTAATCTAGTGACGTGCTGGCAGTAAGATGCGGCGCTATGTATTGATTACGGAGTTATCAATGGAGTAAGAGCTGACACAATGAGGGCTGGTATTGATCGCCGTAAAGATGTACTCGTGTAGATGACAGCCAGCTTGGTCTTGATGGTTGAGAAGTGGGGGGAGAAGTGTGTGTGTATGTGAGGGGCGGAGGTAGGGGGGGAGGGAGGGGGGGGGGGGGGTGCACTCTGAGAAGGCGCAAAATGCCTTGTTCATCCGTTGTCTTTAATTAACATCTGATGTGCGTTGAAATATCTACTTTGAATGCTGCATGGTCGTACTTTATTAATTAGGCATCAGTCGCATGCTTTAAGACTTTAACGCCACACTTGACATCGTAGCCTGGGAGAAAATAGTCGAGTTTTATGTAAATAGAGTTAACGTTAATTTATGCCTCTGTTTTTTTTTTGAACTGTCAGGGACTTTTCAGCAGTACGCAAAAATACTGAATGAGAGTGTGAGTGAGTTGGGTTTAACGCCGTAGTATTGGGCTGTATCTCATTTGATTACGGCTTGTAAGCCTCATCTGGGAGGCAATAAGTGATGTATATCGTGAAAAACTTTGGTTAAAGCCACGATCTCGAGTATGGTGGTGACATACGAAGAAACAGCGGCACTGGCTCTTATGTTAGAAATGGTTTGTATGTATAATATTTGTATCACATATTTGTCTTTTAAGCATAGAATCAATGGTACTTAACAGGTTGTGCATAACCTGATTTTCATTGATATGTGATGATGGACATCAATCTCCAGCAACTCACCAGGCATGTTTTCTGATCCGACGGCTACCAGAAGAGCTACATCGGTATCATACTAATTCGTCTCAGTCTTGACGGCCGGTACATTACTCTGTGACATCCATGACGGCCGGTACACTACCCCGTCACAACCATGACGGCTGGTACACTACCCCGTCACAACCATGACGGCCGGTACATTACTCCGTCACAACCATGACGGCCGCTACATTACCCCGTCACAACCATGACGGCCGGTACACTACCCCGTCACACCCATGACGGCCGGTACACTACCCCGTCACAACCATGACGGCCGGTACACTACCCCGTCACACCCATGACGGCCGGTACACTACTCCGTCACAACCATGACGGCCGCTACATTACCCCGTCACATCCATGACGGCCGGTACACTACCCTGTCACACCCATGACGGCCGGTACACTACCCCGTCACACCCATGACGGCCGGTACACTACCCCGTCACACCCATGACGGCCGGTACACTACTCCGTCACCAACATGACGGCCGGAACACTACTCCGTCACAACCATGACGGCCGCTACACTACCCCGTCACAACCATGACGGCCGGTACACTACTCCGTCACACCCATGACAGCCGGTACACTACTCCGTCACCAACATGACAGCAGCTACACTATCCCTTCACAACCATGACGGCCGGTACACTACTCCGTCACAACCATGACGGCTGGTACACTACTTCGTCACAACCATGACGGCCGCTACACTACCTCGTCACAACCATGACAGCCGGTACACTACTCCGTCACAACCATGACGGCTGGTACACTACTTCGTCACCACCATGACGGCCGCTACACTACCTCGTCACAACCATGACGGCCGGTACACTACTCCGTCACAACCATGACGGCTGGTACACTACTTCGTCACAACCATGACGGCCGCTACACTACCCCGTCACAACCATGACGGCCGGTACACTACTCCGTCACACCCATGACAGCCGGTACACTACCTCGTCACAACCATGACGGCCGGTACACTACCTCGTCACAACCATGACAGCCGGTACACTACCTCGTCACCACCATGACGGCCGCTACACTACTCCGTCACCACCATGACGGCCGCTACACTACCCCGTCAAAACCATGACGGCCGGTACACTACCTCGTCACAACCATGTCGGCCGGTACACTAGCCCGTCACAACCATGACGGCCGCTACACTACCCCGTTACAACCATGACAGTCGCGACACAACCCCGTCACCACCACGACGGCCGGTACACTACTCCGTTACAACCATGAAAGCCGCGACACTACTCCGTCACAACCATGACGGCCGGAACGCTACCACGTCACAACCATGACGTCCCATTGCAGCCATGGCGGCCGGTACACTCCTCCGTCAAAGGAATGTCGAACGATCCAC